TGCTGGTCTGGGTGACCTGAGCTGCCACAGGAGCCGTGGTGATGTCCAGCCCAAGCTGCTGGTGAGGGCCATGTCTGGGTCTGTGGTCCTGCTGCAGCTGGGGTCTGTGTTGATGTCTGAGGCCTGTGTTACCACAGGGGGCCATAAGAATCATGCATGATGAAATATGAGAGCCAGGCTGACCTGGCCCTGCCCTTCACTGACCCTGCCCCTTGCTGGACACTTCAGCAAGAGAGCTGACCCCAATGTCCTGGGCACAGGAGAGCTGGCCCCCTGCACTCAGAGGAGATGGCCCCACCCCTCACCATGGGCGTGGGAGAGCTGGTCTTGTTGGTATGGGTGTAGGAGAGCTGGCTCTGCACCTTGCCTTAGGGGGCTGGCTCCAGTGACCAGATCTAACCAGCTTAACTACCACCCTGGCCCATATCAGGGCCTTGGGTTGACCCACCCTAACACCTATCCCATTTATGACCTACTGGAGCATGTGAAAGGACTGGTCCTGCAGAACAATACCCACAGGATCTCCGTGACTCCGGGTGGCCTCTATCGGAGAGGAGTTTCGGTGAGGGTCCATTGATGATGGTGTACCAGAAACCAGAGGCCTTGAACCAGACCAATGACTCATTGCAATGAACATTTGCAAGGAAAGCTAATAGGACAAAAGGGTCTACTGTGTGACACACTGAGGCTCCCAATGCCACTAAGATTAATGAAGAGGTGTTGGAGACTCGAGAAAGATGGAGGAGCAAAGTGGTTTGGGTTTTATTTGTTTGTTTGTTTTTGTCTGGTTGGTTGGTTGGTTGGTTTTAATTTTTTTTTAAATTTCTTTTGGGGAGGATGTTGCAAGGGTGAAGGATGGATATGGAGGGACTGGGAAATGAGTGGAATTGGGATGCATGATGTGAAATTCCCAAAGAATCAATAAATTATGTAAAAAATAAAATAAACCCACATGGACACAGCCACATGCTGGCCATGTGATCCAGAAACCCAAGCAATGGCAGGATTCAACACTAGGGATGACCAGGAAACAAAAGAGCGACACACCTGCTTCCTCCGTGGTCATTAGGAAGATCGTGGGACTATTCCTGAGACAGGTGTGTGATTGAACCAACCAGCCCGACTCAGAGTGTAGCAATCGGACACCGTAACGATACAGTGTTACTTCATTGACCTGAGAGTTCCTTCTTTGTTAGTCTTCAAATTGTACTTGTAGAGAAATACCTCTTGCTAGAAAAAGACCAGACTTTTACAGAGGGGCACCTGGGTTAGGGCAGTGCTACACCCCCTCACATCTGTCTCCCTTCAGTAGCAACCCAGCAGGCAGCTCAGGGGCTCCGCTTCCAGGACTTGCCTTATAGCGACTTGGAGTTGGTGTGTGTTTGGGATCCGAATGTCTAGCTCAGCTTCTAGGTAGATGGTAATGGTAGACAGCAAAGAATGGGGTCCCTGGGGGTGGCCCTCCCATAGGAAAAAGAGGATGGATGGCCTAGTCTCCTTGTTCTGGTAGCCAGGCCTCCACTCCATTCAAAGATAGGAAACTTTGGCATTCTCAATAATGGAGGGCCATCAGTCTCGTGAAGCCGTGTGGCAGTAGTGAGCTGTGTGTCTGTGTGGAGACAAGCGCTGTGCCCAGTGCATGACATCATATAACTAGAGGTAGGAATTGTAACCACCCCTTTTAATAGATTAGAAATGAAAGTTTATAGCAATTGTAAGTGATTGGCCTGTCCAAAGTCAGACATCTCAAACATAATCTTAAGTTGAACTGCTGTGTTAACTATCATAGTAATTAGTTAATTAGATCCAACTGTAGTGGTTTTATTTATTATCTTTATAAAAATGTTCTGATCATAGGGGATACACAGTCAATCCCGTGTTGAAAGATGCTCTATTAGTTTCTAATGTGGCATCTAAGTCTGTTCTGTCACATGCTCCAGCGAATACTTGAGCCTGCTATATCCTCTGAATAATGGTTTATTGCCAGAGCACTAACAAAGGAAAGACATATGATACAGGCTTGTACGTAGAACAAGAAAATTCCAAAAGTGGAGTCCCTTGAAAAACAATGTTAGCAGTTCATGTCTATGGCTTTACAAATAGAAATTATTTGTCTAAAAGTTAAAAGAAAGTTTTTTTTATTTATTTTATGTGTTTGTTGTTGTGGAATATTACTTTAAGATGTATTACATTTGTTTATGCTGTGGAACATTTGTTTTAATGATGCAAAGATGTTTTACATTATTTCATGTTGCATTTGTTTAACTCTGTGAAGCTGTGTTACTTTGCCTGTCTAAAACACAGGTCTAATAAAGATTGATTGGTCTAATAAAGAGCTGAACGGCTAATAGTGAGTCAGGAGAAAGGATAGGAGGGGCTGGCAGGCAGAGAGAATAAATAGAAGGAGAAAAAGAGGGATCGGGAGGTAAGAGAGATCAAGGAGCGAGAAAACAAGGGACCAGCCACCCAGCCACACAGCCAGCCAGAGAGTAAGAGTGAAAGTAAGATTACAGAAGTAAGAAAGGAAAAAAGCCCAGAGGCAAACGGTAGATGGGGTAATTTAAATTAAGAAAAACTGGCTAGAAATAAGCCAAGCTAAGGCCGGGAGTTTATAAGTAATAATAAATCTCCATGTGTGATTTATTTGGGAGCTGGATGGTGGGCCCCCAAAGACTTAAAGAGCCAAAGAGTTTATTAAAAAAAAAAAACCCCAAAACTACAGTTTGTATTTTGCCTGCATGTATGTATGTATACCACATGCATGCCTGGTGCCCACCGAAGTCAGAAGAGGACGTTGTACCCCCTGAACCCCTGTAAATGTAGTTACAGGTGGTGGCAAGCTACCATGTGGATTCTGAAAACCGAGCCCTGGTCCTCTGCAAGAGCAACAAATGCTCTTAACCACTGAGCCATCTCACCAGCCCAAATAAAAATTGTTAAGTACATAATAGGCAATCCCAATCCAATTCAGTGTTGTCTACACTTGGTATTGCCTTTGGCTCTTTAGAACCTTCAGAACATATTTGGGGCATTTGTAATGCTGTCAACCTTTTACTTTGTAAGTTGACTGAGGATATTTCCTTCCCATTCAATATGGAAAACCAAAGTAGGGTCCTGTGAAGGAAGCTCTTGGGTTCAACAGGTCTGGATCTGTGGAAAACATGCTATGTAGTCTGATTTTCTCCTCAAGGGCCAATTAAAACCTTACAGAGCAGCATTGGAAAACCAGCAGTTTAAATGACCAGAGTCTAGATTCAGAAATTCAGTTATCATTTCCCCGTGTCTCATACTCAGTGACTTCAGTTATGTTTAGAGGGAATTTATTTATGTTTAAAACAGATCTTGATTATAAAAATGACTTAGTTGGCTTTCTCGCCAATAATTTATGAACCTTGGAAGGGAAAACTATTTAATCAATCCTTGATTTATGAATTTCCAGAATTTTGCCAACATTTCAAATGAATTGGGGGGCAAGCATTGACGGAGCATTCTTACTTTAAAATGTCATCAGCTTATCAAATACATCTCCAGTCAATCAGGAATGATTAAACCAGGATAATGTTTACATTTCATAGAGAAACAAAATTCTTGGAGCTTCTCCACATCTCTGTCTAAAGATTTGTCATTCATTTGCATTCGGATAAATTCTTAGTTTTCAATCATCCAGAATAATTCTCAAGTTATTGATGAGCCAGACTAAATAGTTAGTTGCATTCATGCATCATAATATCAATGTAAAAAAAGGCTTTCCTAATTTTATTTTCAATAAAATCCCCCAAACGATGTCTAATGACTCCCAGGTTCAGTTACTAAACTTTCTACCATGTCACTTCCAGAAGGAGAAATAAACTTGCTTACATCTTGGCCATTTCCTAGAAACCTAGAACTATGCTCTGATCTACCTCTATGGAGCTTTATGAATGAATGACCTTATCTGTCATGGAGGTACATGACTATGCATTGCTAAGTATAGGATTTGTATCTTATTTGGCTGTAATCCAGTGAAGGCAACCTGTATGCAACACTAGGTTAGTTACTATATCCTAAAGGGCAGAGTTTGTCCATTGGATGACCCAGGTAAACGCTAGGTCACTCATGGGTGCTTGTTGAAAAAAAATGAAATAGTTTGGTAGGAAGAACATTCAAAGTTCCACTAGGAAGGTCCACAGGGGTGGGGGCTCCCTGCCTTCTGGCTGAGGAATGAAGATTTTGTGGAGCTGGTAACAGCTGGTAGAAAATTGAAAGATAACCGAAGTGAAACTGGGCTTGAAAGGAAGGGGGTTAGCTTGCAAAGTGAATACTCACAATGCAAAGGAAAATATGGGGTATCGTTTAGAGTGAGAAAAACATTGCTAGGAACAGAGATGTCCAGCAGCCTGAGAAGCAGCACTGGTGGGTGGGAGCCTGCTGTTAGCTGAGTGCTGGAAGCTAGGCTTAGCCTGAACTTCCCATCAAGCAGAAGGCAGGTCTCCTTGAAGACTGTAGAACAGCACATGATAAACATAATGGCAGAGGGGCTGGAGAGATGGCTCAGCAGTTAAGAGCACTGACTGCTCTTCCAGAGGACCTGGGTTCAATTCCCAGCACCCACATGGCAGCTCACAACTGTCTTTAACTCCAGTTCCAGGGGATCTGACACCCTCACAGAAACATACATGCAGACAAAACACCAATGCACGTAAAATAAAAATAAATAATTTTTTTTAAAAAAATAGTGGCAGAAAGCGACAAGCTGCCTCTGTGTTAAACACCACTACCATCTTCCAAAAGCTAAAAAGAAACACTGTTAACCTTCAAGAGCTGGCCATCTAAAAACCCACACTTCACTTTTTTCTCAGGTCTTAGGGCTAGTGGACATGAGGATCGTCTCTGGAGTTTTAGGCAGTCTGCGATGGTCTGAGGTCCTGTTGCGACCTTCGCCTTCCAAAGGGGTTTCCTGTGAATTTTGCCTCCACACTTGCAGGAGTCCTTCATGCTGCCTTTGTCTTTTCTCTTTACAGCTCTTCCTGTCCATCAAACTCAACACTCGCCTCCTCTGGAAGAATCTCCAAGACCGTGACTTACATAGCTGCTTGCTCCGTTACTCTGAAAACCTATCCTGGATGTCTTGATGGCTACAGTTAATTTCTTTATAGAATAGAACGCGTCCTTCAGGAAGGACACGGCATCTGCCCCTCTTTGTCTCCACTGAGGACCTGCTACCCACCCCACTTCATCCGTCACCTAGAGACATCATAGGGCAGCACTATGCCTTCAGGAGAGCTGTCCCTTTAAGCAAGGAGGGATTCTTTGGAGTTGAAATCCTGCAGGATTCATAGGGTGCAGAGTTTCATCGTTCTTTGCCTCCAGCTTTTCATCAGGGTGTACAGAGCCTCTACAGGGTCCCCACCAAGAAAGAATTACTTTGTATCCTGGTTCCTCTCCTTACTGTTCCTGGCTTCTGTGGGCTTGTTAGTGATATCAGGACTCAAGCTGTTAATAGTCTGGGATTGGGCACCATGGACAGGAAACGCTAGGAAAGAAAAAAAAAAACTGCAAAAACCATTTCACATGTTTCAGGCTTACTTTTTAAGAACTGTTTCTCTCCAGCACACTTCCCCCCCTCCCTTCTCCTAGCAATGGCTAACAGTGGTGGGGACATTGCACCCATTTTGCACACCTAATTCAATTCTTCCAGATGTTATTTAATGCTCAGAGCCTTTGAGACACGTGTGTTGTGGGGAGAGGCCCCATCAAGGGAATCTGTGATGCCAGGTGAACAAAGGCACCTTTATCTCCAGGTCCCAACCTGGTAAACACCATGGCATCTGGGGTCTCAGAGCTGACTCCTGTTTGAAAGCAAATTGGGTCTTCCAAAAATATATCCGGAGCTGTGCATACCTGTGAGTGATAGTCTTCCAGGCTCAGAACTAACTGCTGCTTTGGGCTGTGCTTTGGTGAGCCAAGTCCTGCCCTCGGGGATGCAAATGGAACCAGAGCTTGAAGCAAGTCCAGTGGTTTGATTTGCATGGGAAACTTTTGCCTCTAAGTGAAGGCAGCCAAATTCCCCGGGCGCCCCAGCCCTCCGGAAATATGCCTTACAGGGGCTGGGGGCCCTAGGCCCAACCGGGTGGGTGTGATTTGAATGTTCATTGCCACAGCTGCTAGGCTCAGCCCTGGTCATTGCCATTGGTCCCGCTCCATTTTACTGCCTCAGAATCCCCTTGTGCATGTTAGTGGTTAATACAGCAGCCAGGAGACGCCAGACAGCTCTCAGCACCTGGTTCAAATTTAAGGCTCATTTACACATGATGTCACACACGCATTGTCAGCGCGAGGGAGGTCAGGATGGTTCATTTTGGGAAGGTTTGCATTGTTGAGCCTTTACAACACTCACTGCTATTAATGCCTTAACCATCTGACTTGGATTTCGGTTTTCTGGCATGAGGTAATCCCAGGCACTAGATTTATATGCTGAATGGGAAGCCAGCAAGGGTGGCTAATCATGCTGGTTTGCAGATCTGCACCTCTGGAACCTTGGGATGGAATTAGAAGGCCACATGGCATGCAACAAATCATAGGGCTTCAGAGAGGAGGGAAAGAGCCAGCCCTGGAGTCAGGGTGTGGACCCTGGAGTCAGGGTGTGGACGGTTGCTACCTCAGCCAGGATGCTTGGTGGAAGAGTAGAAACCCAAGTACTTGGACAGGGGTCTAGACCAGCCATTCTAGTGGTTGGGGTCATTATGAAACCCATCTTTCTGCTCATTACCCAAAGAAATCCCAAACCATCTTCCCAGGCTCATCCAAGTCTCATGTTCCATGGAGCCCTCCCTGGCCGCCTAGTCCATGGTGATTGCTCTTCTGAATCGCCAAATGCTTCTGCCAATAAAATAAGCAGGGCAACCATTACTGAGTGTATTCTGTTATCAGTTCACTGTCCTCTCACAACAATATAACATGGAAAACATTATTCTTTACAGTTTTTAAGGTAATAGAACAGATTCAGAGAGTTCAAGTCAAGTGTCCAATGTCAGAGCACTGATTCTCAGGGCTGGGTTCTGGACCATCAGGTAGGCTGGGTACTACACGGGTTCCACATCTTCAGTGGTACATGGCAACACAGCAGGACCAGTCTGTGTCCCCAAGGAAATGGCACAAAGGAGTTTATAATAATGCTGCCTGGTGCTTCCTGTCGGTGTGACCATCCCCTCTGCCCTTCCGGTCCCCCTGCCCTTCCTGTTCCCTCTGCTAGCTAGCGTGCATCTAGATCTAGCTAGCAGCGCAGTCTCCTCGGGGTATGCTTAGATGGGAGAATGGAGATCAGCCCCCTTCACCATCGCCAAAGCCAGTTTCCTATGTAAGACGTTGAAGTGTTTGCAATCTTTGGATAACCACCCTGTCACCTGTCACCTGTCATCACTGTACTCGTCATGTGGTAGTTGTGAGAACACCTTGAAGGGCGTCTGAGCAGGTGTGTGGAAGGTTTCTGAGAGGGTAAGCAAGCGTGGGTCAGTGGAAAGGAGAGTGGTGGACACTGCAGATAGAGAAGGCAGCATGGACCTAAAGGTGTGATTGCCCGCATCCGGGAACATTCTTAGACATAGTAAGGCAAAAATGACCTGAGGAGAAGGGTAGAGTCCAGGTCATACCAGACACTTCTCTGTTGTCCCTTTGAGCCGTATGGCAGACTCTCCTGAGTCCAGCCTTTGGAAGAAATTGCTAGTCCATCAGGAGATGTCTCCTCAGCATAAAACTGCAATCTGTGTGTCCTCTCACCTTGGAACATAGTCACAAATCCTTGAAAAACAGGCAATTAGGTGCCCCTCTCATAAAGCATAGTTCATCAGAGCAGAATACAGCGTTCAATTGGGGAATCACGCTCGGCACTTGGCACTGCCCCCACCCCATCCTCCTGCTCTGAGTCTGAGAGACGGACCTAAGTAGACTGTGTCAGTGGATTGGTTTACCTCTGACCCTCCATTGGCTTCCACCAGAGAAGCATTAGTGACAGCTCAGAGTAGAAGAAAAGTAGGGTCGCCTGCTTGTCAGCCTGTGTATTGCCCTGACCCTCACACAGCCCAGTCACTGTTGGCTCAGTGTCCTGCTCAACAGTGCACCGTTTCCACCCGGTAGCTTGCTCTGCCCAGCCATCCTCATCAGGTCTGGCTTCTGGTAAGTCCATGTCTTCTTGCCCTTTGAATCATAGGATGCAATCGGTCCCCACATTGTTATTAACTGTTACAAACAGGCCAGTGTTCCACTTCTCAACTTTAATGTTTTTATTGTTGTTGTTCTTGCTTTTTTTTTTTTTTTTTTAATTTGGAACAGGGTTTTGCTGGGTAGCTCAGGCTGACCTTGAACTCATGGCAATCCTCCTGCCTCAAGCTTCAGGATACTGGGATTATGGGTATTCACCATTATGCCTTCCTCATATGTGTATGTTGAAACCCTGACCCCCATACCTCAGAGCACAGCATGCTTATATGAGACTTTTAGAGAGATCATAAAGTTACAAACAAAAGCCTGTAGCAAGCCTTAATCTAGTGTGGCTGTTGTCCTTATGAGCCGAGGAGACAGGAGGTAGGCACAGAGGAAAGACCATACAAGGGCATGGTGAGATGGTAGCTCTCTGGTGTTCTGTTTATGAACACCCATCTCTACCTCCTAAATGCCCCCACTGTCTCCCAGTAGCATCACAGGCTGCCACCACATAACACATGGGACTTTAGGCATCCAGATTCAGAGGGAAGCAGGTGTTGTCTGTTTCTTATTGGGTCCCAGTGAACAACGAATCTCAAGAAAAACTTCAAACACTACTCTCTTGATCCATCAGAGAGTTGGGTTTACAGGGCAGCCAAGCCCTAAAAATCTTTTAATGGGAGCCTGTGAGGAAGCATGGACAGGTGCTTTCCTGGAACAGGTATGGCCAGTAAAAATTAAAGGGAAATAAGAATAAAAAATAGTGGAAAATCTGTGTGGGTAGTGAGAGAGTCTGGCTCCTAAGGACCACATCTATGGGGGAGGGGGAAGTGTCTCCGTGGGCTGTAGCAGGCACTCACAGGAAGACAAGCCAAGGTCTGCGGCAGTAACTCAACCATAGACTGACTGATCGCCGAGCATGCAGCCCCCAGACCCAGTCCCCAGCACTGGTAGAAAAGAGAAAAAAAAAGATTGGCCAAGTCCTCAAGCAGAGCTCCTTCATCCACATGGCAAGCCAGGAAGAAGCCACTGCAGAGAGATGTGAAGCCACCTGCTGTGGGATGTCTTTCTGTACGCTGTGAATATGTGTTGCTCTGATTGGTTGATAAATAAAGCTGCATTGGCCAGTGGCAGGGCAGGATGGAGCCAGGCGGGAAAATCCAAGAGAGACAGTGAAAGGAGAAAGGAGAGTAAGGGAGATGCCAAGCCACCATCCAGGGAGCAACATGTAATGGGACGCAAGTAAAGCCACGGAACATGTGGCGATACTTAGATTAATAGCTATGGGTTAATTTAATGAAAGAGCTAGCTAGCAAGAAGCCTGAGCCAAGAGGCCATAGAATTTGCAGCTAATATTAAGCCTCTGAGTGATTATTTTATAAGCGGCTGCAGGACTGCTTGGTCAGGTGGGACCAGAGAAACTTCCGGCTACAGCCACCCAGACCCCTCTCCCCATCTCACTTCCGGAACAAACCCCTATCTAAAGAAGAGAGGACAAAACACCTCTCCCCTTGGACTGCAGTGGAGACCTACAGAAAGAGGGGGGCAGGGAAGGGGGCAGAAGGAGCAGCCATGCAGAGACAGAGCCTGGCGAGTCAGTCAGTCGACACGCTACTCCAAGAACCTTCCTTACAGAATTCCTTCAAGCAGATAGAAATGAGACTCTACACAGATAGACAGGGGAAGTAAGATACGGCTGAGATGTATAAGTTATTCTAAAAGACAAGTGACTGTTGAGAGGGAGAGTCAGTATGTGTTTTGTGCATAGGGCACGTGAAATGGAGTATGCCACAGGACAGTCCAAAGCTGTGGGAGAAGAAAGACGGTAGCATCCTTACAAGGCAGCAATGCATAACATGAAAGGAGGTTTTGACCAATGAAAGGCATGTGTGCTAAACCCAGGACATCCACTAAAAAGAATTCAGAGAGATACATGTCAAATAGTGGTGATGAAAGTTAATCATAAAAAAAGTTACATTAGCCCAAGAGAAAGCAGAAATGTAGACAGGCCAGCAGCAACAACAGTCACCATGAGGAAGACGGCACTTTTGTTTGAGGTGTGAGATTTAAACCCGGGGCCTCATTCTAGACAGGCTCCATCCTACTGAGCTGCATTCCAGCTCAATAGAACAGACTTTAATTGAAACATATTAGTAAGCACATTAAATGTGAAGGCTTTAAACACATCTGTTGGAGATTGTCAGGCTGTGTAAATAAAGCAAACCTACTTCCTTTTTCCTTTTTTTTCTTTTCTTTTCTTTTCTTTTTTCTTTTTCTTTTTTTTTTTTTTTTTTGGTTTTTCGAGACAGGGTTTCTCTGTGTAGCTTTGTGCCTTTCCTGGAACTCGCTTTGGAGACCAGGCTGGCCTCAAACTCACAGAGATCCACCTGACTCTGCCTCCCAAGTGCTGGGGATTAAAGGCGTGCGCCACCGCCGCCCGGCACAAACCTACTTTCAATACAAAGGCATGAAATGGCTTTAAAAAATGAACAGAAAATATTCCAGGAAAATAATAGCCCAATGTAAGCTGGGGTGTCCATATTAATATCATTCAAAGTAAACCTCATGATAAGAAATGTTCCAAGGAAAGATACACAATTCAAATGATGTTCGTTCTGTAAGACAATATAACTACCTAGATGGTATATACCTAGCAAGGTTTCAAAATATAATAGCATACCTACTGTTCTCATTGGAGAAATAGTTCTCTCTACAGGAGTGGTAGAATAGACAGACAGAAAATCAACAATGAAACCCCAACTCAAGCTACCAAATTGACACTGTTTATAACTCTGGGCAGCAATAACAAACTATGTATTTTTTGCAATGCATTTGCAATATTCCTCAAGATGGAACATATTTTGAGCCATAAAACAAACTTCAGTAATTTTTAAAAAATTAAAAATTACACAAATATGATATTGGACCACAGTGAGATTTAAGCAGAAATTGTTAATGGAAATATTCCTAGAAAACTTCTAAATTTTTCAATATTAATCAACATGCTTCTAAATAATCCAGGAATCCAGAAAAATGTAAAAAAAAAAAAAAAAGAATCATTTAAGTGTCTTATTGCAGGGGACAAATACAAACAAAAAACCTAGCAAAAGAGAACAAATTAAACTCAATACAAAGGAAATAATAAAAATAAGTAGAAACCAATAATATTGAAGACAGAAAAAAAAAGACAGTGACAGCGAAACCTGGTTCTTTGAAAAGCCCAATAAAATGGCTAAGTCTTTAGCCATATGGACCAACAAAGCAAGAGATGTAGTGATCAACTCCAGGCATGAAGGAGGGGATCACTACGGATCCCACAGACGACAGAAGGATGAAAGATCTCTCTCTCCCTGGCTGTGTACTTGACAACACAGGTGTTGTGTATTGTCTCGGGTGGTAAAACAAACTGGTTCCTTGAAAGACTCAAATTGCCCAAACACTTAACACTTGTCATATACGCATTGATGAAAAATGAATTCTAGTCATAAATCTGAGATAGTTAATAAAAAGCCCACACAATATGACCTTTTATGTTTCTCCTAAAGCTTTGATTGGATGCAAGAACACTCAATGTATAGATCAAAGAAGGTAAATAGGATTTGTTCCTGATAAGGCCCTGCCTCGGGCGCCATTTTGAGTCCACTGAGGCAAGATTCCCACTGGTTCGGTTTCGTTGCTGCTGTGGCACTTGGTACGCTACTGGATTT